TGTAACGAGCCTCGGTAATTTCGCTGACGCCGCTCAAGTAGTCAGACATCGTTGGGAGGACGTAGAATCAACAATTTCAACGCCAAAAAGAGCGCGGGGACTCACACCGACGCCGACAATGTCGCATTTGGATGGTTTGTTTATGGGCGACGGCGATCTTTTTGCCCACACCCCCATCGCGCATGCGCGGCGCCGGTGGCGTCCGCTAGGTGGGCTTCGAGCGTTCCGGTTTGTTTGTAAACATGAGTTGGTGAATAAGTATCTTGGCGTTATTTTAATAGAAAAACTGGATTGGAAGGAACACATAGACTTTATTGTGGGCAGGGCAAACCAATCGCTGGGATACTTGAAAAGACACCTGTACTTAGCTCCTTCAGAAGTCCGCATCCTTGCATACACATCATTTGTTCGTTCTAAAATTGAATACGCTAGCCTGATTTGGATCCCATTTCAAATAAATCTTATACAGAAGCTAGAGTCCGTACAGAACAAAGCTGCGCGTTTTATTTATTAAGACTACTCACACTCATCTATAGTGTAACTGCCCTGAAATCGAGAGCAGGCTTGAAATCACTGAGTGCAGGCGTAAACAGGCGAGGCTTTTATTTTTACGTAAAATCTACTACTTCAACCAGGAACTCGGGAAACTACTTTTGCTCCCTCCGCACCGTATTTCTCCTAGGATTGATCATCCCTTCAAGAAAAGATTATCACCTAGTTGCACCAAACAATTTTCGGAATCGCCTTTGCAATTAGCCATTAAAGACTGGAACAGTCTACCTCGATCCGTTGCGGGTCTGGCGGGCGTCGCTCTTTCCAGAGACGCCTGCAAAACTTTGTTTAGTGACTAATATTTTTTTTTAAATATGCGTACTGTGCGTGTACACCACCTGCATGTTTTACCTTTATTGTTATATGCGCTTGCGTTACCACTGAGTGTCGTCTGCTTGGTTAGTTGCAGCATACCGTATGCTTTCTTTTCTTTTCTTTTAAGTACGTGCTGATGTTTTCTCTTTCTCACATTCACGTGTATTTTGTATTAGAATATAGTCACCTTGTACCCTCCTCCCTCATGTAATGCCGTCGGGCGATTTGAGGACAATAAATAAAATGAAATGAAAAGAAACGAAATGAAATGAAGGAAGGAATGAAAGTATCGACGGCAGTCCTTAAACTGGCAACTGACGTTTCATTAAGAGACTTACCGAGGAGTGACCTACCAAAAAACAAAACTCACTTTTAAACGAGTCATATGAAAATCATGTTGCTTTTGGCGTAAAACATGCGAGGCTCGTTAAACGCTGTATGTCTCTAAGCCTCATCCTTAAAGCTGCATCTAAGAATGCATTTCAGTCGTAGAGCTTGATCACATGAGATGCTTTGAGCAAGAATGTCAAACAAATAATTTAGTGCATGAGAAAAATTTCCACTCACACATAAGCGCCATTCTATGCATTGAATGCTAATATGGTTTGTCCTTAAACGGATAAATCGCTTTTTTTTATAAAAGTATTAAATTGGATAATGATCGTAATTATGATTATTTATTGTGACACTCGTGCTTCTAGGCTAACAAAACATCGCTGGAAGATGAAGAGAGGTAGTGCGACCTAAAGTAACCGGAGGGCGACCTTCCCCAACCTTTCCTCGCCTTCCAGTAATGTTCTGTCCATACTGAACTGCCAGGGCCTCTCAAAACACCTCGCAGGACTCACTGCTTTTTCACCAGAAACCCGACGCTCTCACGGCAACATCCCCCAGTTTCTCCATACCACGAAAAGCAAACGGATTCGAAAGCATAAAGCAAGCAGCTGGGAACTGATATTAACAAATGGGATTTTCTATGTTGCCTTCGCTTTACAAGGTCCATGGTGTTGGAGTTAGGCGATCTTGTTCTCCCATTGCCGCCATCAGTGCGGAAATATTTGAGCTTTTTTAAACTGCCACTGACTTCAGAAAAGGGTATCTCTTCTTCAGTCTGGTTTGCAGTTCATGTTGAAATCGCCGATGTGCACGTACACGTGCTCACAAAAGCTCATTTAGTGCAGCTCGAAATGTTCACAGAATGACCGCCCTTAGCATAATGATACGTGACAGCTGCGCGCATCTCAGCGTGCTTTCCTCTCCTTTCACGCTAAAAACTATTCACGGAACTTTTTTTTATTGCACCTCATGTTTTGTGTGGTGCACATCATATCACTACGAAGAAGCGTGTTTTTAAGACGATACGGCACCCTCGCGGGTCTTGCAAATATCTTCAGGATTCGAGGTCCCGGTTTGAAAATCACAAAACGTCATTTGCCAATCTGGGGTATTTTTTTTTTTTTTTTTTTTTTTTTTACATTTGTTTTAGATAGAATGCCAACTTCGAAGCTATTTTTGTGGGGTTCTACGTAGATGTTGCTGTCGTTATATTGAATAAATACCAACACCGCAAAAGTGGCTACTAGGACATCTCAATAATATACCCGGGTATATTTGTTCCCAAAATAATTCTGGGTTTTTTGTTATTTTTTGTGCTCAAAAAATGGCAGGCGTTTACGACGAGCATTGATAACCGCAAGTATGAAATAATTATAGCATCATTGAATCTTCGTCCGACAGCCCGTCACTAATGTGCACTTCATTGAGGCAGTACCTAAAAGCGAATCTTAGCACAGAATTCGTAGCACGCAGCCACACAAGTTGCTTATGTCGCAACAATGCTCGCCGACAAACGCGACAGCACGCTTATGCTGTTCATAAATTATTCCGTTTGCCTTCGCTCGTGGTCAAGTCGACACAGTCTACTTTGACAGGTGTGATGCGTTTGACAAAGCAGTCCGCGATTTGCTTCTGCATAAGCTTTTTCTCCTGCACTTACCAGCTGGTTTCAGTCATTTTACCGATTGTGAAAGCTCTGTGCAAATTTTGAATGACTTTTCTGATGCCTATGTTCCTTGGTCTAGTGTGCCCCAGGGGTATAACTTGAGATCACTATTATTTTATTATTTATTAATAATATTGAACTATGCGTGAACAATTCCCAGTGGTTGCTATTTGCTGATGACTTAAAACATTCTTTGAATGTCCGGTCACTCGCTGACTGTGCACTATTGCAAGAAGGCGTGTCACGCGTCCCGATTAACCCAAAGCGCTATCAGTTTGTAGAAGACAGGAGGCCATTTGAAATGACTACGCCCTTGGTTCTACTCCTGTTTGAAGTGTCTGTAATTCGCGACCTTAATGTTCATTTCGACAGTAATCTTTATTTTTCGTACCATGTCTCAACTTGTCGGTTCAACTGTAAGATTGCAGGGCATGATTTTCTGTTTGACCCAGGAATTCTTGAATCCATTGTGCATTATTCGCTTACATCACAGTCTGATTCGTTCCCGCCTTGAGTTTTTAAGCGTTGTGTGGAATTTTTTTACAACTGATGCACTGCAGATTGAAAGAGTACAAAAAAAGTTGTTTAGGGTCAATATTTTGGGCAAAGGTGTTTTATGGCTATACCTACATACTCGATACTTTCAGCTTACAGATGTTATTAAGTCGTGGAGTTCCGCGAGACATTTTAATTTTGCATGAAATAATTGACAGCCAAATAGCAGCTTACTGTCTTCGGTTAAGTTTCACGTACCTCTACGTTTCAGCAGGCATTCCTGTTTGTTTTATCCTGGTTCTCGGAAAAAAGTTGTGTTAGATCACCCTCATCAGTGGCGTACCAACTTGTTTTTGAGTGGTTGGAAGGGGGGGGGGGGGGGGGGGTAGGGGGGGCAAGCCAGACCCGCCCCCCCCCCCCCCCCCAGGGCCGGGTGTGTTGCCCTTGGTGTCCCTTGAGCGCTGCCGGCCAGTGTTTGCCCTGCCCAGTGGCGGCTGTTTCGGGGGGGGGGGGGGGGGGAGGGGGGGCAAAGCATGTGTTCTGCCCCCTCCTACGCTGAGAACTGGGAGGGCGGACGCTTGCCCCCCCTCCTGGTTGGTACACCCATGACCCTTATGTAAGTGTCTTTTAATGCCATTCTACCAGATACGTCGTTAGATGTTTATACGAATTATGCGTTTTTTAAACGTGAACTTGAAACTCTGATTTACTCATCATAACCTATCTGTGTGTTGGACAAGTTCTAGTATCACGAACGTGCTTCATATCGATACTTCGGTCGTTCAAAAGCATAACATAATAAACATTTAGCATTATTATTATTATTATTATTATTATTCACCCAGCGGCACTCCTGGCCGCTGGGTCAAGTAGATAAATAAATCCCCAATTACCCCAGTTCAATTAGCTAAACAACCATTCGTAATGTCCAATAGCAAAGCAAAAAAAGAAATACGATGCTAGGATACGCATGGCACACCTTCGTAGCCACGAAGGCATGGAAACACATACAAAACACAAGAAGGAACGCAGTATCGAATCTCATCATTTATTGCACGCCGTCAAACAAGGCGCCACAAGTGCACGACAGGATCAGGCCCCGCACGCATCACGCCAGAGTAATACCGCACCAAGAGCACAAGACGCGCGGCTCGGTAGCATTTTAAACTCTCTCGACTAAATTAAATACGCGTTCTCGGTGGCACGAAAATAAAATTACACTTTCCAAAGTACGTATTCTCAACTCCTCTACAGACAGTATTCACTGATCGTCATAGTTGATTCAGCATGGAACGAGCAAGTAAAGACTTTCTCTGCGCACGCGCAGAGTAAGTTTCCATTTCCAAGAATGACAACCCGATAGCGGTGTAGAACCCGGCAGAATTGTGCACGACGTTTCAGAGAGCTACTCAGGCGTAAATAATACCGCATAAGTAAGCCACGAAACGGAGTGCAATCAAGTTTTCACGAAAGTCTATTTAGGTGGTGCCTTTATTATATTCAAATTTCGTAAATGTCAAACTCAAAAAAATAAATCAAACAAAAAAATTGTTTTAATGCTCAGGGATGAAACCGAAAAAACAATTGTCGTGTTATCGCTACTATTCAAAGAGAGCATAACATGGAATAGAAACTTGAAAGCTTCATTGAGATGAACACACGAAAACAGATCCAGCAGATCCAAGCCTGTGTCGTACCAGCTGGGATTAGAACCGCCAGCCAGACTTTTTTTCTTCCTGTACACAAGAATAGCAGCTTCTATTTTTCTTTTTCTTTGTCTCTTTAAGCTACATTAACAAAATTTGAGTGGGATACATGCACCACCTAAAGACACCTTTGTGAAAAGTTTTATTGAAATCTCTTTATTGGAATATTTATACGTCGTCTTTCTCGACGCCGGAACACCTTTCGGAAACACCCTGTAGAAGGTCGCTTTTGGCGCAATCGTCGGCAAAGCGACGCAACTATGTCGGGCAATGGACACCGCCTACCCTCGGTAGCCACCGAGAGGGACGCCATTTTCGCGCAAGGTCAGTCCCATGAGGCAGACTTGAGTCAGGAGGAGCCCGCTTTTGTTAATAACTACATAGTTCTAGTGTCGGCACAAAGTCAGCTGCCATTCACTCGAAGAGCCGAAGGCACGGAGCACAGTTGTAGCTAGTTCTCCCGGAGTAAACAGAGCAGCGTGAGGCAGAGCGCCAACAGCATCGAGGTGGCCGTGATCGCGGGAATGGCTCTGGAGTTTCCGGTGACGATCTCGTCGACGACGACGATCTTCCAGCCCAGGTTGGGCGTCGTGTAGCTCTGGTAGTAGACGACGTCCGGCGTGCTCTCGTTGGGCATCCAGGAGAGGATGGCCGGCTGCCCGTCGTCGCACTGCAGCCGCAGGGAGTTGCGGAACTTGGGGAAGCTGATGAACTCGTCCGCCTGGCGAGGCTCCGAGGTGTTGTACTTCCAGGCGCACAGCCGGCCAGCTGCGGGGAAACGAGCTAATTGATTAATCTATCGATTTATTGATTGATTAACTTGGTATTCACTGATTGATCGATTGACTTATTAATTCATCGATATCTTAGTAAGAATGCAGAATAAGATTGTTAGTTGATTGTAAGTGAAAAAATTTGGGTCATTAAATAAACAAATGAACTCTGAAAAATAGTATCATAATAAATATGAGAAAATATAAGCTATCGGCAAAAAGAGACCCCCAAATCAGTCAATTTTAGGGCATCGCGCGGGAGCGTGCGTCAAATTTACCACTCGTACAGCAGGCGCAAGGCCGGCAATACGAAAGCCCGGGCGCCGGGTGATATTCTCAGCATTCGCCTTTTCGCATCGGAGGCCCTGCGCCTGCTGCACGTGCGGTAACTTCAGTCACGGCCTCTCTATCCACTCTCCCGCTTCCCCACAGGAGCGCATTGAGCGGCGGTGCTTTAGTGCGCACCCGAGTTTCCCACATGCACGGTGTCCTCGAATTGACCAATTTAAAGGTTTCTGGTGAAGCTCAGCGAATTTCTAATTAGAACCATGTGCTTATTTTCACCAATTAAAAAGTGAACTATTACGTTTCAGATTTTATCTTGCTAAATAATGTTTTTTTTTTTTGTGTGTGTTTTTTTTTTTGTTTTTGCCAATTCCTGACGTCCATTATGGCTGGCAGTTTGTTCGCGAAAAGTGTTTATTTTATTCTCAAACACCCCATTTTAAAGAAGTTTGACAATCCTCATGGAAACGTTCAGTATATATTTCACGTTTAAATCAAAATTCCTCAGTATCGAGGCCTTAGAAGGACCAATAGTCACCAGCTCGCCTGTTTGAGTATTTTTTCATCAACTTATGACGTTTGGAACCAAACGAAATTGAAGATCTAGAATTACATTCCACTTTCTGTTTTATTTATAAATTACCAAAAAGGTATTCGCGCCATTTGTTGTTTACAGTACTCACGAGAGCACGTACCCAGATTATTGCGTTCAGTCTGACTGCACTCACCGGCACTGGGTTGAGGTCTTCCTCTTCGGTCGAACTGGACGCCGGCATAAATCTTGACACTCTGTTGATCAACGCGGAAAAAGGCGTTAGGAAACAATCGTAATATCGGAGATTTTCCCAAAAGGAACGATGGTTTTGAGTGCACTGTACTGAATGTTCAGTACAGTGAACATTCAGCCTTACCTGATTATTTGGTCTGTTTTTATTATATGTTGGTCGCTTTATGCTTCCTTGGGGTTAGGTTAGGCAGGTTAGGTTAGGCAGGTTAGGTTAGGTTAGGTTAGATTAGGTTAGGCTAGATTAGGTTAGGCTAGGTTGTTAAGTTAGGTTAGGCTAGGTTATCGCTGACAGCTTAGGAAATATAGGGCATGTATTGAGCACCGAGCATCTCATTATACCGCTCGGCAGCCAATGAGATTGCTGCATCAGCCGATAGGTCACGAAAGCACATATCCCGCCCTCTATTTCTTCGGCTCTCAATGACCATACTATGTTAATGTGATCTGAAATGTCAATGAATATTTACGTGCGCGTCTGAGGAGGGTGGGTGCGCGTCTGAGGGAAGCGTGTGTTGTAACGACATTAAATCAATGAACATGGTTATATGGCTCATGGGAATGAAGATTTTACATTTACTAAACTTGCTTCACAAAAATCATGGTTAGCAGTTCTATGAAACCCAAAAATTATAAAAACATGCAACCAGAATTACTCTACTCTTGCAACTAGCAAACTTCCACATTATGTTTTGTTGCTGTTATTGTTGCTTTCTTTATAAAAGCCTACCCAAACTTTCGCTACCTGCTCAAACTTTGTCTATACACCTTTTCTACAAGGATGCAGCCATCTTGAATGTCGTCAGTCCGGGTATGCAGTAAAACATCGTTTTGATCTCTCCACGCCGCAGGAAGGTATTTACCAAAAGTGGGTGATTGCGTACGCCTTCTTGTTTTGCCTCAAATTATGTTTTCTCGCGTATTCCAGGTTGAAATGTTTTGTTTGTTTTTTCGTTCGCATACCCACGTGACTGAGGAACGACAGGAAACAAAAAACGTCTATAGACCTTTGCATCTCTTATCACCCGGCGAAAAATCCCGAGTCACTGAGCTGTGGACGCATGCGCAGCGCCAGATATACCGCACAGCATAGCAACAGCGCATGCTCAAAAGGCGTTCCTTAGCCTTACAGACAAAGATGGCGGCGCACAGAAAGTTTTTTTTGCAGAGGTCTATATATCCTTCGTTTCACATCGTCCAACCGGAGCCAACGCTAGGATCCAATGGAGCCAATCAAACAGGGCCGAAAGTGTATCGTCGCGGCTCTCGCTGTTGTTGTTTTTTTTTTGTGTTTTTTTTTGTTTTTTTTTTTGGGGGGGGGGGGGGTTGCTATAACCGGGCCAACCAATCACGCGCAGGAAAAAAAATCGCAGGATTATGGCGAATTCCCTTCCCGCAATCGGTTCAGTCAGGGAAGGGAAAACGTACAAAGGTGATGAGCGTCGTGACGATGCACTTCTGCCGCTGCTCCATTTGGCTTAATGGAGTAGTATAGCGCCTGCTGGCGAACAAGTGAAACGAAGTAGAAGTGCCTTGGTAACACTTAAAACTAACATTTGACGATACCTTTATTCGCTGTTTCTACCTATTTATGCTTAGGATTTCATGTTTTCAAAGAGTCTTGTTCGTCAAATTATAAAAAAGTGCTTTTCTAAGCTTTTTTTTCTAAACTATTTGTGTTTTTGGAGTTGATTTTTCATCAGATTCTCAAGTTGCTCTTTTTTTTTAATTTTAATATATTTTCAATTTTGTTTTCAGAATTCCGAATAAAAATGAAGCCTGGACACAAACATACCCTAGATTCGTCGGAACTCACCCGTATCGCGTGATATTTCTGCATTTGGCATTGGTGCTTTGAAATTGGCAATATCAACTAAGCCAAGATAAATACTTTGGTAAGAGTCGATACTCTGAAACCGTCGATACTTCGAAATAATTACTTCCGGACGTGGTCGCTGTAGGTGTGGAAGCTTCAGCTGCCCTCTCCTCTATTGAGATATACAGGTTCATACACATCGCTGTTACAAAACACTACCCTCCTTCCTCTAAGAAGCACACAAATAGTATGGTCCAAACTAGAAACCTGAACGATGGCTTTTGTCGTGACCCAGACGTACTATGACACATTGCCCTCAAAGAACCTCGACCAGCTGAAACGTAAAACCGATTTCGTCTCAGGACCACTAACCCTGTATTCTTATAAAGTTTATTTGTAAAATGCCACCTTTTCTTCTTTTTTTTTTTCTACCGTCGTGTTATATAAATTTGAAGTTTTTTAGAAAAGAAAACTATCTATGATGTTTTTCATTCTTAGATTTCCGCCTGCATTCCATGTGTAGCATATAGTTGTCTTTATTGTTTAAATAAATCATCAAAACATTAAAAATACAGTTTCTTACTCAAGCTTTTTTTTCAAAATAGCTTTTGCACTAGCTTTTTTGTACCAGCCATGACTGTTGCCTCTGTTTGGCCACGTTTTGACCAGCCTCTTAGTAGAGGCAAGCACGATCGCAAATACCAATAAAATTGTGGGCCCAATACCGGGTGTCCGAAGTAGCGGCCAGGCTCTTTAAGTCGACCGCAAAATTTGGTTTCTCAACCTTTCGCGCTACGATTTTGTGCAACGTTGCCCACAAATTGTGTTTTTTTTTTTTTCTTCTAAAAAATTTGCAAAGAGCGAATTTATCTAAGAAAAAAGTAAAGAAAGAAAAGGGCTTAACTCCTATAGAAAAGGCAGTGAAGCCACCGGTCTTCAAACCATAGGGCGCCCTATTGTTAGAAGACCGGTGGCTTCACTGCGTTTACATAGGAGTTAAACCTCTTTCTTTCTTTACTTTTTTCTCAGATAAATTCGCTCTTTGCAAATTTTACAAAAAAAAATAATCATCTGTGGGCAACGCTGCACAAAATCGTAGCACGATAGATTAAGAAACCGATTTTCGCGGTCGATTTAAGGAGCCTGGCCGCGATTTGGGACACCCGGTATAAACAAAATAGCAGTTGGTATAGGTTTGAAAACAAACAGATCGGAGAGCATTAGTTGTATACCTTGTTTTGCAAGCGCGAAATACTAAATTGCTTATCGAGACAGTACGCGACCATTTATTTAACATAATCAATAAAAGAACAGCTCCCTTACTTGGAGCTTCATACCTTGCAAAACCTTTAAAAAACGTCCTGAAAATTGTTGATCTTCGGTATCTTATTTCGCTGGGACCAAATCACTTAAAAATATCGTTTGTCTCTTCAGCGCGAAGCTATGTTTTATTGCCTAATTCACTAAAAGAATAAGAATACAGAACTTCAATAATGCGCCAGTGCGTCATTGTGTGTCGTTTGTTACCTTCTGCAAAAGCCCAGTTAGTTGCCTTTATTATCTGAATTAGCACACATTTTTTGCATACAGACACGGTCTTGATGTTTATACATGAAAGAACAAACCCAGTTGGTGCTAAAATTATTATTTTAAATAAATTTACGTACCAACTTCCAGCGTACTCCTGCTAGACTCAAAGCACACGCGTAGCAAATTCTTTACCGCTTCCCGTCAACCTCATAGTATTAAAATGTTTAGTCACTAAGCCTAATGTTCGGAATTTATTCTCGTTTCTAAGTGTCTATATTCTTTTCTCCTTTTCTCCCACGGTAGTTACCCTTATGGAGAATCAGGTAACACCCGTCAAACGGGTACTTTAAGAAAAGAAAAAAATCGGCGAATCTGCTTGCGAGCTTGCGCCTATCGGCGTGCGTGGCTCGCCAATATCTTGAAGGAGGTTGTAATCTTTGAAGCCTTTAAAGTATTCGTCTGACAATAATATAAAACACAAAATCAGAAGTAAACTGTTGCCTGCCCACCGGAAGAAAAAGGCTCGAGGTACACCTAAGTACTTCTTGTAAGTTCTGAATGCAAAAGCATGCATGACTTTCTTCCGCTCCCTGATTTCTTTTCGCCGCTTTGACCTTGGACGCTTCGTGTTACCGTGCAGCGCGGGACAAACAGCGCCGTAGGGTGGCGCTGTGTGTCGCGGCCAATGGGAGCCGCGTTCCTTGAAACTATGACGCATACCAGCCAATGAGACCGAAGCCGAAATCCATCAGATTTCGGCTTTACTTCGCTCCTTCGGGAGCGAGGAAACTAGGTGCCGTTTGGCTCGGCTTCTCGCATGGCTTCGAAGCTGAGAGCCACCAAATCTCGGCTTTACTTGGAGAAAGGAGTTTAGGTGCCGTTTGGCGCGGCTTCAAAGGTGATGACGTCGGATCACTCCATGGGACCCAGTTAATGCTTTCGCATTAAAAAAGAACTCGATAGCGCTCTTCTTATTATAGTCTGTAGCTGGTTAAGGATTGCAGAACTTGCGCCTCCCACAAGACCGTTCACCGTTTTCGCTTTAGGATTGTAAACACTAGGGGGGGGGGGGAGGAAGGGAGGGAGGGAGGAGAAAACCACCGGTCCTGGATAGTAAAGGGTCCATGGGAAGGGATTTCTCTTATCTTCTACTCATACAGAAGGTTATGAAACAGCTCACGAAAGAAGGCGAAAGAGAGAGAGACTAGCTACCTTCTTCTCTTCGTCGGTTAGCCGAGCGTAGCCCCCGATGGGACTGTCCGTGATGTACAAGGGATGGTAGTAGCGGGCATTGTGCGGGTTGTTGCCGCCTTCCACACGAAACGTGTACGTCCGGCCCCGCTGGACGTGCAGTTCGGGTACCAGGATGCCGTTGATGTACCAGCACTCTCCGGGGGTCGGGTAGCCTGAAATATAAAAGCACGCCGCAATTTTAAAAAAAGTATTTGATGAAGAGCGCGCAGGTCAATTTGATGTTTGGGCATGGTTGTCTACAATACTTTCACTCTCAGGTGGCACAGAAATGGTATTGTGTTTTTCAAACTGTCTTTAATAATTTACCAATCAGCGATATTTATTTAAATAGACTTGTTGCACAGCACCGATAATATGTTGCATGTCTTGCGTGTATAATATGTGTATTAGATGAGAGAGATTGTCTTGAACCTCTAACAATTGTGAAGTTTGTAGGTAAAACTACTTAATTTACAAATGTTTCTTTATGTGGGTTTTTCATATGGTATATGATTTGATATGAGTTTTATGGGTCCCTGTAGTCTTGTTTTGTTTTTCTTGGGTACGTCGCTCAGTGAAATTTTTACAGCAAGCCTCAGACGTCAAAGGAGCGGAGCAAGCGGCTGTCAAAAAACCATGCCATGTACAGGTGCGTAAACAAGTGCTACAAAAAAAAGTCGCATACCCTAGACTCTGGTAATGCAAGCACCTCTCGAAGACGGGGACTGACGGTGCTGCATCCCTACCTCATGTTATCCTTTAAATCACAGACTGCATGTTTTCTGCGACGAAGTTAGGATAACCTCACTACTACTGAAAGGGTTTTGGCAAAGTGGTTCGAGACCTCCAACTGATAAGAAAAAGGGTAGGTGAACAGGTCCAAGAATGCAGACGGGCAAAATATTATTAATATCTTAAAGGCGGGTGCACGCAGTTTTTTTTTTCTTTTTTTCTTTTAAACGCAAAGAAGCACTTATCTTTAAATAGCTTGCTTGATAACTATACTCATCACCCGCGCCAAATGATTGGGCTCTTACTTACAGCAGTGCGTACTTTTTAGTTTCACAAACATCTTTGCTTTTAAAAAGTAAATTCACCTACATATTTAGAAAAGAAATATCTTAAAATTTTCATTTCAAAATATTTAGCTTATTTTTCTGAGATCCTTCATTCAAATTATTCCGATCAAGTGTACGCTACAAATAATAATGTAGGATTGCATAATATAAACTTTCCCGTTGGACATGTTAAATGAGGATTTTAACAACATCACGTTTTAAACTTGTAAATTTTTGGTGTCCACGAACTTATATTTTTTTTACGTTTTAGGGATATAAACAATATGTGTAATGAGTTGAGTTTATTGTAAAACAAAAAAAGGGGATAAGATCCATGAGCGATCTTTGCCTCTCAGTAAAAGAAGGCAGTTGTCTTGCCTTAGCTTGCCTAGCTTGACTTAGTTTATGGAGAGGTGAATGGAAATATTTAACTCTGTCTATTTTAGACATTTTGTTATAAATCAAAGTTATATGTTCGTATACTCGATGCACACAGGCGTTTTCAACCCACAATCACGATTAACTGAGCTGCCTGAGAAAATTAATAAACGAGCTTTAGATTTTTACCGGTCTAGTAACGCGTAAGCTAATAGCTGCCAAAAAAAAAAAATCAGATTGCGGAGGCCGTACCTATATTACGCTCCAATCGCACAGGTACTCATTACCGTATTCAACTCATTCGCAGCCCCCGAGACGATCCAAGGTCGCGCACCTCATAAGAGACATGACCGATCATCATCGCTCACTGTTCCATCGCCTGTCCAGTGCGGCTGACCCAACTGCGGTTCAGAATACCTTAGCGGGTTATCGCACTAAAAAGACGATATTGTGAGCCGCGCAAATTGCACCGATGAAACGCAGACGCTTGCCTGTGATGCCCCGCGTAGCCTTTCCAACCTCCAGAGGGTCCTATCCTGGCGATGAAGTTGTCCACGGATTTGTCTTTAATGCGGAAGGGCCCCCAGGGACTGGGACGTTCTTTCTTCTGACCAGTGCTGAACCCGAAGCAGTTGTCTGCGGCGTCCTTGCGGCCGAAGTTGATCTTCACCGTTCCTGGGTAAAGCAAATTCTAGCGGTTAGTGAATTAAGAATACATTCATACAACCAGTGGCGTACCAACTTGTTTTTGAGTGGGGAGAAAACCAAATCTCCCCCCTCCCTTCCCCCCGCCCCCCCCCCCCCCCTCTTCCGGGTCGGTATCCCTTGGTCGCCGTCGGCCAGTGTTTGCCCTGCCCGGTGGCGGCTGTTTCAGGGGGGGGGGGGGGGGGGGGGGGGGGGGGGGAGGGGTGACATATGCTTTGCTTCCCACTCTGAGAACTGGGGCAGCAAGCGCCCCCCCTTTCCCCCCCCCCCCCCCCGGGTTGGTACGCCCATGCATACGACAATGTCCACATCAGCCTCTTTGCTGATATGCATTGGTGTAGCGGTAACCGGGGTGTATCAGTTATTTTTCGGAAATGACGGCGAATATTGATAGTCAAGTGGACAAAGTAGTATACTCACGCTGACGAACCATTGAACAGAATCACTTTATATCTCACTTTTTTTGTTAGCAAAGCATAATTTTGTCAAGTAAATTTAACTACTAGTATACCAAACTCGAGGAATGTCCACTCACAGAAAAAAAGGGTATATTCTTACACCCCTTGTCCCATAGAGACACCCCAAACCTTGATTTCGACGTACTGTGCACTGACGTGCCACAGACGGCCCCAACTTTTGCGAGGGTCTTGAGAACGGTGATATATATTTCATTAAACAGGTGAAGTATGTATCGAAGACTATAGGAAAAAAACACTGAGGTTTTGCAGTAGGGCCAAGAAAACCCCGATTATTTTGTTTATAGTCAGTAACACGTACGTTAGCTACTTTAATAAGTTATACCACTCGTCTATAATGCCGCTCGTAAAAGTTGGCACCGTCGGTTCAACATCAGTGCGCTGTATAGTCGAACTGAAGTTTTGGGGTGTCGTATCCGGGACAAGGGGTGTAAGAATATACCCTTATTTATTTATTTTTTTCCTAAGAGTGTACTTTGAAGTCGGGAGTTCTACTTTCTTTGTACCAGACAAAGACACTTTTAAGTAAAATACAAGTACATACTCGAATAATGTACTTTAATTAGAGTACAAGTTTTCTAGCCCTATTAGAAGTAGTGCTTTAAGTACAATATGCTTAAAGTACTTCCCAACACTGGAATACTTGTATGCAATATTATGCC